TTTTAAAAGGGGGGGGGGGGGTGATTCTTTTCTATATCGTTACATTCCCCTCTTCGGTCTAGGGGATACGGAGCGGAAGTAACAAAGTTAAAAGATGTGATTAAATAAATAAACTATGAGAAATCTCCTTTTCCTCTATCCCAGCTTGTCACTTTCACCACTGATATTTCTAATGAAGGTTCACACAAAACCCTCTATTTAACACCATAAAACAGAAGCATACCCAAATACCAGAAATATACTTAAGTATTTTTATTAAGGGCTTAAAATAAACCCAAAAGAATATATACAGAAAATATACAAATATCAGGGCAATTAATCAACTTAAATAACCAAGGCATGAGGAGAGAGCAAATGCCAAAATAACAAACAAAACAGTCTTACTAAAGGTTATAACAAAATAACTTCCCTGGCAAAAGAAAACAAAATGAAAGACTTTAATCCTACCTCTCTCCCTGACTAAAGAAAAACAGGTGAAAAATTTAGAAGGGGATAAACCCAAATAAATCGGCACCCATCTCCCTACCCGGTTTGACAGAACTAGACTCACAAAGAATCTTAATAGCAATATCGTTGTAACCATTTCACAAGTTGCTTAACAGCAAATAAAACGACCTCTCTGGGATAGCGGATAAGGGACTCCTCCTGAGCTGTGTCTCTCTGCTGCTTTATATCTGTTGCGCGCTGTGTAACAGGGAAATCACGCTGCCGCTAATTGCAATCAGCTGCGGATGATTTGTAGTGCTGCTTGGCAGAGAGCGAGAGAGAGGAGGAGGAGAGAAAAACATGTTACCATATCCCAACATACACAATTACGTCACGGGACATAACAATACCCACTTTATATATATATATATATATATATATATATATATAACAACAAGGTGGTGCCGTGCATGGCTACCTCGGTTTGTAGCTCCTTAGTACTTTTACTATTCTTGTTTGTTTGTCCTGTTTTAAGTAACTTTTTTCCAATCAGCTTAAGCTGCTAGACATCAGAAATAGCACACCAAATAATTTTTTTGCAGACTTTTGAGCATTCAGACATTTTACTGGACATTCTAGTCAGAGGAACTGCAATCCGATACAAGCGCTCCAAGCAACGCAAACGAGGAAAGCGCACTGGTGCGCTCGTGAAATTCCGACAGCGCGGTATTAGGTCTCCGCTGCCGAGCATTCATCTGGTGAATCTCCGCTCCCTAGCAAATAAATCAGACGAACTACTACTTCTTACCCACACAAACAAGGACGTTCTAAACTCTGCTGTGCTTTGCTTCACGGAAACCTGGCTGAACGGATCCATCCATTTGGAAGCTCTCTTTATTAACTGTAAGCCTCTTTATTCACCATTGGAGTTTTCCTCCTTTATTTTGGTGAGTGTGTACATTCCTCCTGATGCGCGTGTGAGCGCAGTGCTACAGCTGTTGGCTGATCAGATCACACACACAGAGCAGCGTTATCCAGACTCTTATATATCTAATATACTGGACCACTGCTACACTGTTTTAAAGGATGCATACCACTCTGTCCCCCGAGCAGCTCTGGGACTCTCTGATCACTGTTTGGTTCATCTTCTACCAGCCTACAGGCAGAAACTCAAATCTGCTAAGCCTGTAGTAAGAACTGTAAAGAAATGGACTGTTGAAGCAGAGCGGGATTTACAAGCCTGCTTTGACCTCAATAATTAGAGTGTTTTCGAGGCTGCAGCTACTGATCTGGATGAGCTCACCGACAGCGTGACATCCTACATCAGTTTCTGTGAGGACGTGTGTGTTCCCACCAGGACTTATTTAACATTTAACAATGACAAACCTTGGTTCAGTGCAAAACACAAACAGCTTCGCCAGGCCAAAGAGGACGCCTACAGGAGTGGGGACAAAGACTTGTACAAACAGGCCAAATACACACTGAATAGGGAGATAAGAGTGGCAAAGTTAAACTACTTTGAAAAGCTAAAAACAGCTTTCAAGCAATGACCCTGCATCAGTGTGGAAAGGCCTGAAAGCCATCACCCGCTACAATACCCCATCCCCCAGCACTGAGGCCAATCAACAACTGGCTGAAGACCTGAATGAGTTTTACTGCAGGTTTGAAAAGCCTGGTCTGACACCCCACACCCACTCCGACCGTCTCACAGTGCAGCCATCAACACCATCCCTCCTACTGTTTCTCAGCCTCCACTCAAGATCTGTGAAGATGATTTAAGCAAAGTCTTCAGAAAGCAGAAGATAAGGAAAGCCAAAGGCCCAGACGGTGTCTCTCCAGCCTGCCTCAAAGCCTGTGCTGTCCAGCTATCATCCATCTTCACATCGATCTTCAACAGATCACTGGAGCTGTGTGAAGTCCCCTCCTGCTTTAAATGCTCCACCATCATCCCTGTACCCAAGAAACCAAAAATCACAGAACTTAATGACTACAGACCTGTTGCTTTAACATCTGTGGTCATGAAGTCATTTGAGAGGCTCGTGTTGGCATACTTGAAGGACATTACTGGACCCCCTGCAGTTTGCTCTTCGGTTCATATACATTATTATTTATTGTTAAGTCTTAATTAAATGTTTCTGTTCTCATGTCAGATATGTATGTATGTATGCATGTGTGTACCAAGAGCTTCTTAAAAACCACAACAAATTCCTCGTGTGTGTGCGCACACTTGGCAAATAAAGCTAATTCTGATTCTGAAATGTATGTACAGTTACTAGGGGTGTAACGATATATCGCAGTACGATATTTCGCGATGCAAAAATGTTACGATATGTATCGTAGAGTGGTGGCGATACTTTAACGATATGACGGCAGTCTAATCCTAATCCTAATCCCAGTTTTTTGGTTTTTCAGTCACGCGATAGGACGACGGTAAATAAATTACAGACAAAACAAACTGTTTGTAAACACTGTAAAACAAGGCTGCCATACACAACGTCAAACACTTCGAATATGATGTGCCATTTAAAACGGCATCACAACAACAAACTCCTGCCACAAAAAGGGTGAAAGAAGGCCAAACATCTATACAAAGCAGTTTTGCTGCAACATGGTCTCAGTCAAGTGCGAAAGCTCAAGAAATAACCAGATGCATCGGAGTTTTTATTGCAAAAGACATGAGACCATTTTCTGTGGTCGAGAATGTTGGATTTCGCGAATTGGTTGGGATTAATGGAGCCCAGATACCATATTCCGTCACGCCCGCACTTCAGTCAAGAGGTAGTTCCAGCCCTGTACTGCGAAGCTAAAGCAAAGGTGGTCGACGGTCTGAAAAAATCAGAGAATGTGGCAATAACGACTGACGGGTGGACTCTGCGGGCTTGTCAGAGCTATATTACAGTCACGGCGCATGTTATTCCCATAGAGTGGGAAATGAAAAGTTTCGTGCTTCAGACTCGCCCTCTTTTTGAGTCACGCACTGGAACTAACATAGCCGGAGTTTTAAAAGCAGCTATACAAGAGTGGGAGCTTGAAAGGGCTCCTCAGTACTGCTGTTGTTAGTGACAAAGCATGCAACATGGAGGTGGCAGTGAGAGAAGCCGGGTTGTCACCGCATATTACCATATTGGCCCGAGTATAAGACGACCCTGATTATAAGACGACCCCCTTTTTTCCAGATGTACCTTTTGAAAATCTTGTTTTTTCTCAGTAAAACACATTTTGTCTTCAATTATTTTCATATTGCATATTTTTCCTATTTTAATTATTGTTTTGAAAGTATGGTAAAAACTGGTAAAAATGTACCAACAATCACATTTAAAAAATATATACTTTTTGATATACCATTAAAAAACCAGTAGCCCATCTGAATTAGGACATTTAGGCTATCCATCTAACAGTAGCCTACCAAAATCTTATTAACAGTAGAAGTTAAATCTTACTGAAGTCTTCAAATCTGGGTACTGTCTTACGTTTTAAAATCACAAAGAGAGTTTGGTCGCATCAGGCTAACGTGACCGTCACGACTCATGCAGCTGTAAGGTTTTGTTTTTACTCACGATCTTTACAACACGCATTACATTACGTATTTCATGGCATGCTCGTTTTATGCGTATTTGGCGCCACCTATTGTTGTGTGTGTATTATTGACATGTCAAAGTCTAGAGCCTGAATATAAGACGACGTGTTTTTTCAGACGTATTTCCAAGAAAAAAACATCATCTTATATTTGGGTCAATACGGTAAGTGTTTCAAGCACATATTGAATCTTGAATCGCAAGCAGGTTTAAATGTTTCTCGCGTCAGAAAAGTTGTGGCTTTCTTTCACCGCAGTGCCACAGCAACAGCTGTGCTCGCAGAAAAGCAAAAGATGCTTGAGATCGCATCACATAGGCTTATCATGGATGTGGTAACACGATGGAACAGCTCCATGGATATGCTGGAACGCTATCTCGAGCAACAAGCGGCTATAACGGCAGCTCTCTTAAGCACAGAGGTGCGGAAAAATGCCCGTCAACTTGATACTCTGGACAGCAACGACATCACTGATGCAGAAGAAATAGTAAACAGATGCTTGAGATCGCATCACATAGGCTTATCATGGATGTGGTAACACGATGGAACAGCTCCATGGATATGCTGGAACGCTATCTCGAGCAACAAGCGGCTATAACGGCAGCTCTCTTAAGCACAGAGGTGCGCAAAAATGCCCGTCAACTTGATACTCTGGACAGCAACGACATCACTGATGCAGAAGAAATAGTAAACCTTCTTAAACCTCTAAAAAAAAGCCACCACTGTCCTGTCTGATGAAAAGAGCGCCACCCTGTCACTCATTGTGCCCTTGAAATCCATGATCGAGCAGAGCATGACACTGGATGAATAAGACTCCACAACTATAGCTAACATGAATGCAGCCATCCTGCAAAACCTCTCGGGCAGATACACAGAAGTATAGGTTGTCACTCATTGTGCCCTTGAAATCCATGATCGAGCAGAGCATGACACTGGATGAATAAGACTCCACAACTATAGCTAACATGAATGCAGCCATCCTGCAAAACCTCTCGGGCAGATACACAGAAGTATAGGTTTATCTGCTAGAGAGTACTGCACTGGACCCCAGATTTCGATCATTGCCCCACCTACTCCCTGAACAACGCCAAGAGGTTTTCCACCGTTTGATGGACAAATCAAACCAGTTCCAACAGGTATGTGTCTGCATTACTAATTATTTGAGAATGTGTATGCATTTGCATGTTTGTGTACTTTGTGATGTGTGTGTGGGTAACTGCAACTATACTATACCTCCCCAGTCCGTTTGTTTTAATATTTTTTAAGGCTGTGGAGCAATCAGAAAACAGGGAGGGCGGTGCCAGTGATGGAGATCCCACTGATGCAGCAGAGAAGAGAGAGACAACACAGAGAGTCGAGCAAGAACCGCCACCACCGAAGATGGAAGATCTTGGTGCAACTTTTTCTAAACCAACAGTCACTCAGTCCAAATGTAGGATAGAAGTAGAGCTTGACATGTACAAAAAGGACACTTCTATGCCCCTCACTAGCTGTCCACTGAAATGGTGGAAAGAACACGCTCAAACGTACCCACTTCTTTCCTCTCTTTCCAAGGCTTACCTAACAGTTCCAGCAGCTTATGTTACCAGTGAACATGTTTTTTCTACGGCAGGGGATATTGTGAATGCTCAAAGATCCCAGCTTCTGCCTGAAAATGTAGATATGCTGGGGTTTTTTGCAAAAAAAACCCTGTAGGTAACCTAAACAAACCCTAGTGTTTATGTTGAACTTCCTTGAACAGAACACCATATAATTATTATTATAATTTTCTACGGCAGGGGATATTGTGAATGCTCAAAGATCCCAGCTTCTGCCTGAAAATGTAGATATGCTGGGGTTTTTTGCAAAAAAAAACCTGTAGGTAACCTAAACAAACCCTAGTGTTTATGTTGAACTTCCTTGAACAGAACACCATATAATTATTATTATAATTTTTTTTTTTTTACTGCTTTAAGAAGTTCTGTCTTAGGCTTCTTAATTCTAAGTTCATGTTAAATGTAACAATTTTTTTCAGTGACAGACCTATTCAGTTGTTAATTTGAATACAGAAGGT